AAAATACAAAAGCATTGTACACAATTTAAACCAATCAATGTTGTGTAATTTTTGAGTTGATGAGTAGTGCAGATATCACTGTAAAATCAATCGACAGTAAGGAGAATACTTACTTCCGGGTGTAAAATCCTCCGTTATCCAATGGGAATGGACGCTCACATTGCTCTCTGCGTCCGTAATACATCTTTTAAATAACGTTAACTAAAGGGAACAATCTATTTGACACAGCTGAAGCTCTGGCCTTCCTTAAAAACTAACTAATTTAATAAAAATCACAGTTGTATTACTCACAATGCACTGTTTTTTGAGAACAAAAATTGGTAAATAATGCACCATAATACGTTCTGTCGAAAAATAAAAATTATTATGAATACAACTAAAATAAAAGAAGCCTCCCGTGAGTTACTACAAGCTATAAAGTAGATTTTAAAAACGTTTTATAGAATAAAAGCTCACGGCTGGACGTTGTAGAAATGCGTGTGTGCACCACGACAAAGGAGCCTCATTCACTTTACATTGGGGTTGTTTGCGTGGTGCAGACATGTAAATGTAGCAAAGTTCGTGACTCCACCACGCACTGCGGTGTTAAGGAGTCGTGGTGGAGTCACGCATTCTGGTGAGACCAGGTTGTCTTTTCCATGAAGAAGAGTCCGCTCTGACGTCATTAAACCCTAACTGTTATATTAAGGGCCCTTATTATACTTTTTGGGGTTCTCCTTTTCCTGTGGTGTGTTCTATAGGTTTTGGTGCATGTAAATGGTCTGCTAATGCTAAAATCCCAAAGTTCCCTCCAGAGGGAGTTTCTTAGCAGTTGATCAATCACAACAGAGCCGGCCGGCCGGCCAACCAATCAGAGCAGACCATTTACATGAACAAAAACCTACAGTATGTAACACACTAAAGCCCCAAAGTTCCCAAACGTTTCAGCCCCCGACCACCAAAATAACAGTGCGAGAGACTGGCGACCCCCTGTCAACGGGGGGGGGGGGCTAGTGAATTAATTTCAGTTTTCCGCACTTTCGCGGGAATATCTCCGCAATGGAGCGAGTTTAAGTTTCACTTTCGATTGCATTCCCAGCGCAACACCTTCGTCAAACATGTTGCCACTTCTTTGTACCATTTTCAGGCGATTTGTAATCTGTTCTAGAAAAACGATGTGTTTTTTTGGATTTCAAGAAGCATATAGAACAAACAATGGATGTATTTTATGAACATTTATCCATGCGGAAAGTAGATTTAGATGTTTTAGGAGTGAGATAGAGATTATTATCTAATATATGCATCCGATGGAGCATTGCATGAAGTCTGTTGATGATCAGAGGCTGTTGTTGGGGCTGCATAAACGTTTTTTTATTTTTTGTTTTGTAGGCAGACCATGCAGGCCTCAGAGAGTTAAACTTGGGCCTGCGACCATAGTTTTACTGTATTTTGTTTTGAAAATCCACAGCGGAGGTTTGTGTCGTACTATGCGGTGTATTTTGCATATCTCTCAGTAGCCAACGATCTGTGAGTCTGTTGGCCCGGACGTAAACTCCGTAAGAGGTGTAAAACCTGCGAGCATTTTAAATCGCATTTAAACTAAATGCTTATATAATCTGTAGTTGTATTTGTATTGTTGATTTAATGTGTGAACGAGGCGATATAGAGAAGGTTAAGCTGTCATTATTAGGCTGTAATTTGTTATATACTGTTGGAATGGGAAGCAGGCCTATTGTTTTGGGATATTTGTGGAGTTAGGTGGTCCGTGAGTGTTTTTTTATTGGTTAAGTGGTCCTTGGTATGAAAAAGTTTGAGAAACACTGCGCTAGTGGATTGTGAAAGGGGGAGCCTCGTTGCGGGGAAATTATACAGATGGCTAGTCCGCCCCTGAAAAATGTCTATGCACACGTTATTATTAATTATAATAATAAAAAAAAATTGATAAAGAAAATTAATTAATTATTTGTAATTTGTATTTTGTAATCATCTCGCGACCCCCACTTTGGGAACCCCTGTGGTAGCACATGCCTTCCGAGCGTCTTGCTTCAGAAGCGAGGCAAGAATACTTCCTAGCATTTGGAAAACGAAGAGTGGAACAGGCGAGCAAGTGTGCGTCATATGAGAGGCCCCGCCTTACATTTTCCGCCACAGATTTGGGGAAATTGGTCCGTGCGCAAAGCATTGTGGGGATTTTAAGACCGCGGAGTCTACACATGTGCAGCCTCGACATTTTTCCAAACGAAGTACGCCGGGCTCGGTAGATTTCCAAGTATGCTGGACATTGGAACAGTACTTCGGCGGCACTCGATGACGTAGTATGCTTGAAATAGTGGCTCTGGAGCAGCTTTACTCGAGATTGATAAACACCCACTATCTTCTATTATACACAGGGTGCGTACGGGTGCTGGAAATCCTTGAAAATGCTTGAAATTGTACGAGGTGTTTTCAAGGTTTGAAAAGTGCTTGAATTTTGGGAATGGTGCTTGAATTTGGGATAAAGTGCTTGAAATTGTAAATGCTTTACTTCGCTTTTTAGATTAAAAGAAAATAAAGAAGTCGGAGCGCGCTTAATTGCTTCGCTTTTACATAAAACAGCTCCACTCCGGCCTTCCCGCGCAATGCGCGTGACCGGCATGTGTTTTAGTTACGTGTGTGACCTGGGCATTCTGATGAGAGTGATAGATGACAGTATGCCAGGAGGTTGCCGTTTCAACGAGCGTTGGCTAGCAGAAGACAAATACAAGCCATGGCTAAGACGAGGGTCAAGCGAAGCCCAAGAGTAGCCTCCTGCAAAGTGTGCAACAATAACAATGCGAGAGTCTGCGCTGACGAGCCACACACCACACGAAAGGTACGCCATAGTAGAGCATTTTAGATTAGGCTATCGTTGCATGTAAAGTACATGACACTTTTCTCTGTGCGCGGCAAAACAAGCTCGCCAAAATGGCTTCACTAGTCTGGCAGTATTTTAAGTGTCCGAAAATGACAATAAAATAGCGGTATGCAACGTGTGTGAAGCAGAAATCCTGCAGCTCCACCCGCTGTGACGGACCGGTGAGCGGAGCAGAACACACATTAAGAGTTAGACCTAACACACTTACTGTAGCTATTTTATCTACTTCTGGAACAAGCTAAACTAGTTATAAATATATTTATTCTTCACTGTCGGGTCACTCATTACTGGATCAGTGAGCTGCAGGAGATACTGACGGGCTGTCAGGAGAGGGAGAGAGAGGAAAAGAGAGCGCTTCCGCTAATTTCTCCCGTGTTATTATCCCAAGTTAATATAAACTTGAATAATGTACTTCATTTGAATGTAATAATTATGTTGGTTGGTTGGTTTGTGGAAGCGCCAGTGAATGAGCCCCATTAACTGAGTTTTAAACATCACTTTAAATGGAAGATCCCCATAGGCCCCGCCCACTCGATCGGATCGGCGATCGGTATCGGTCGATACTGATTCCGGCGATCGGCCCCAAAATTGGCGATCGGAGCATCCCTAATAATTGTATATGATATGTTTTATAATGATTGATCATGAAAGTGTTATCAAAGCTGGTAAAGTTGCAGCTAGTTTGAATGACTTTGTATACTACAGAGTAGCTTGTGAATTTACTCCAGGTGGAACTAAAGTCTGATTTAACACTTGATTATATTTCACATCATTCATCCACATCTGTAAAGTAAAGGTATTAAATACATGTAGTGGAGTCAAAGTACACCATTTACCTCTGACTTGTGTTTACTGCCAACCTAAAAGTACCTCAAAAATAGTAATCAATAATATATTGAAAAGTTATTTGGCTGATTGTTTTATATTGGCTCAGCCAGGTTATATGAGATGCCCAGTCTACGTACAGATGGGTCACACATTTTGAAATATTAAACTTAGTTTTCTTTTCTAAAATTTTAAATTGTTCATCCTCGTGTAGAATGCTATTATGAAACACACATTTGGTTGTTTATAGCATAAAGAACATCTGATTTAATGTGAGGTAGGGAAATAATCATTTGAGTATAAGTATGTGTATATAAATATGTAATTTACAACAGCTGTAAGATGCTTGAAAAGCTTGAAAATGCACCTTGAAAATGCTTGAAAAGTGCTTGAATTTGACTTTGGAAAAGGTGTAAGAACCCTGTATACAGCTCTGCATTTCATGCTTCATTTGCGTAATACTCCCTCAGGGACTTATTCCGGTGTGAACGCGATTTACTAGATAGTTCCGGGGAAATAAAAGTTCCGGGAACTATTGCTGGGAAAAGTACTGAAGCCAGTCCCCAACTCCGGGGACTTCCGGCCCGGGGACTTTGGGCGGCAGTATACGCCGTGAAGTTGTTTGCGGCCTGCCAGTAAACCCAAAGCAGAAGAAGAAGAAGTGACGTCAGCGGCTTCATTTTCCTAATCCTCCCCCAGGGACTTATTCCGGTGTGAACGCGATCTGTACTTAGTTCATGAGAACTAAAGAGTTCTCATGAACTAAGTTCTGATGAACCTTTGTGGGAAAAGTACTGCAGTGTGAAAGCGCCTATTACACCTGCATTCTTTAAGTACAACAATTTTACAGCATTCTACATTGTCAATTATTTAGATTGTGTTTAAGTAGTAACATAATATTTCGGAGTAGGGATTGCAGCACAGTGACAGCTGATCGTATGACGACTCAAACCCTACACAAAATGAGAGCAAAGGTAAGCTAAATGTTTTTGCATAACTCCAATCCGGTTTTTCCTGAGGTAAACATGTACTAGATGCAATAAGATTGCCTCTGACCTGTTAAAGGTCACACTAACATTTCCATGAACACATTTACATAATGTCAAGGTGCTCTGTACAAAGCTCAGCTAAACCAGTTGAGATGCATTTATAAATGATGAAACGAAAATGTTACTTAGGTTTTCCTTTTGACAATCACAAAAGTAATCTTCCTTTTATTTGTAAAGTGCAATAAATGTCTCATTAAAACAGGTTCCAGTGTGAATAATGATTGGACACTTGATAAAATATTTAACAGTTAATCACTTCATTAGTATCTGTTTATGATTCTTTGTTAGTTTAAAAGTTTAGTCAAATCATAGAAGAAGTTCCCTTTATGAGTCATTTATTTCCCAGGTTTTTTTTCAACAGTTATTTCCATTTTCACTCATGGGTCTACAGGTTTTATTTTGATGTGGAGGCCATTAAGTGAACGAAGCACCAGTCGAGGAATTATCTGTGGTGTTTGCGTCGGGTCCTCGATCAGATGGTATCTCTGCAGTGTCAGCGCTGTGGACACTTTCAGCTCGTTCATGGCAAAGTTCTGACCAATGCAGTTTCTGAGTGAGGAAAACAGCACCAATGAGAGGAATATGGTGACAAATTAAGCTTTAAAGTAACATCATATAGGAAGACAGCACTTGAGGTTATGGAAATCAGATGAACAGTCAATACCAAATGATATATATATTTTTGATTGACATAATATTGGAATAGGTTGGACAAGAAGATATGGCAACAGCCTTTCAGTAAGCCTTTCGTGTTTGCCATATATGTTTTTACTGCAGGGCTATTGTATTGTAATGTGTTGTAAACTTAGCTGTACAGTAGCCCTATTTTTAGTGAGCTAGTCACACGGTATCATATGAGGACAAACCTTGGCCCAGCAGAGAAGGGCACGAATGCGTGAGGAGGCCTCTTGGAAACATTCTCCGGGAGAAAACGCAGTGGGTCAAAGACCTGGGTTGACACAAGATGGAAAAACAAACACCAGTGTGGCATTAATCACACTTTTTCTTAATTTCTCCCATGAACATTTAATGAGTTCATGCTCACGCACACCCCTCATACAGTGAGTGAATAAACCATGCTAGCTCCTAGGAGTCACTCTGTGATATGCTGACATCTCGAACCAATGAGGGCACTATAGGGTTTGCATTAATTGTGCACTAATTTAATGACTTTGTCACTTGTGTGGTGGCCCTGAAGTTGGTCTATTCTCAAAAGAAGAAGTATTTAAGATTGTCGCAGACTGACAGACAAAGAATCATCGTCCAACGTCATGTTTTCTGAAATGCTATGTTTACAAATGTCATGTTCTTATATGAAGATATGTGAGGGACTACGGATGGAAATTAGCTCAAAGCTAAAATCCGGCATATTTACACTTGAGCATTATTTGTCTAAAGTGTTCATTAATGTGCATTGTCCCTATTCAAATAAACGATTAAATGAAAATGAAAAAAATTATTTTAAAACATTTTATGTAGAAGTATCATAGGTTTACTTTTATGGGCACATGTGAGCTTACACATTTAAAAATACTTCCACAGAATGATCTTCTTTACTTACTTCAGGGTTTTCCCAGACAGTTGCATTCCTGTGAAGCGGATACACACTTGTTCCAATTCGACTCCCTACAAATAAGAGCACAACAAAAATGTATTTGTAATAAGATTGTGCAGGGAAAAATAATTCATATATTATGTTTGAGACAATTTTGCAAACCTGCTGCTATAATTCAAACCGTGAAGGTTAACAGGTTCATTTGTGCAAGCTTGACTCAATAAAAATAACTGTTTTCAAAGTTAATCTTTATATTTGACCACAGGGTATAAACGTTTGATGCATGCAACTGTATGGTGTTTTATTCATATTCATCTGCAAATAACCATTAAAGACAAACCTGCAGGCAAAGTCCTTCCATCAAAAAAGGTAATGGTCTTGGTGGTGATTCTGGACATTCCTGGTACCGGAGGGTAAAGGCGGAGGGACTCTTTTATGAACATTGTAGTGTATGGAATTTTACCAAGATCCTCCCTAAAAAGTAAACAGACAAGTGTTAGTTCAACAATTGGCAGCACTGACATACATTTGCATTGTTTCCAAATGTAAGCCTACCACTCCATGGTGTCCTTGCCATCCAGGGCTTGAAGGACCTCATCCCGGCACCTCTTCTGGTACTCTGGGTGGCAGGCCAGAGAGTAGAGGATGAAGGACATGGCACTGGCTGTAGTGTCATGGCCTTCAAACATGAAGGTGTCCACCTCTGCTTGTATATCTTCATCTGACAGACCCTGTTTGTTCTCATCCTTAAATAAAAGGCAAACATTAGTAATCAACATATTATGTCTTAATGTGACACTACTAATCCAAAAACCTATGATTAAAAACCATACAAATTGCAGGCCTATTGGAATTGGCACAGAAACAGCTAATGTCTGTCGGATCCTTTTACAGGTCAACTCTGTTTGGAAAGAAAGGAATCCTTGACATTTTAGTTACTGAGTTACAGAGGTGTCATTGATTAGCTTATTGTGTCATATTGATTATATGTGCACAACAGAAATGTATACATTTTAAGTTGCTGCTCAAGAGTCCCTCATAAGAGTAAAATAACCAGACTGTTGCCTTTGTACCAGTGGCCTCATGCTCAGCATATCAATGCTCATTAGAAAAACCTTCTACGTTTCCTTTTGCCCTAGTGTTTTGCCCCTTGCAGGTTAAGCACACACAGTATAATATTTGCGTCCGATCATCTCAGGTTATAAACATGACACAACTACGCTTTTTAAATGTGCGGCAACTTTAAGACTGTTCATGCTTTAAATATCTCATTACTACAATTCTCACGATTATTAATTCATTATCTCTGTAGAGAGCTTACTGCTTTGACAATTGCAGTTTTTACGTATGTTTTTTTTTTTCATTGATCAGAAGTGTCTCGTTTTGTGAATTCAATACATGGCACATAACATGCTCTCGCTAAGAGAAGGATGTCCAGAAAGTCCACGTTTCTCTTTCCTTGTACGCGATCCAGCTCGTTCTCCTCCTTGAGTGCTTCTTTCCTCTTTCGTATGACTTCCCCTTCAAAATAAGAGAATATAATGAATGAGCATATCCCCAGTAACTCTTAAAATGCAGCAACCATAAACCTACAGTTTAGAGCCTATACAATTTTGATGTATGGGCAAGCTAAATTCAGTTTTAGATTGTCATGAAGGTAATATCTGTGAACATCTTACCTGTGTGACTGTGAGCCACCTTGCATGCTTTTCTTAGTCTGAAGCCATGTGGGCTGAGGTAGAAAATGAGGTCATTGTGGTATGGAAACATACTGAACCGCAGGTTAATCAAATGACTGATCTCATACACTGCCTTGATGTATTCATTTGTTCCGCTGAAATAAGAACGTAGACAAACAGTTCAGACAACTGAGAACATAAACCTGTAATTGTGAATGGCGGCGGGAAAACCTTTGTATGGACTCGCCTCTCGGTCTGACAGTTGCTGTTGTAGCTGAACGCACACTTCATGATGCTGTCCAGTGTCATAAGGCTCACGTGGTTAAACAATTCAAAGGACTCATTGGTTTTTGCATAACTCTCCCATTTGTCCTGACAACAGTGAAAGAACAGATGTGAAGTCTCTGCAGGACGTGGAAAAAACTTCAACACACTTTGACACAAAATAGCTGCAGCATCTGGAAAGCCTAAGCCTATATTTCCTCCACATCACTTCACCATTGACTACTTATTATAGCACTTTACACAAAAGCATTTTCCTTGTACAATATGTGAAATGTAACTTGGCAAAAAAACAGACACTGATTTTATAAACAAAAAAACTGTCATTAACGTACCAGCATGGTTTTAACAGAGTCTGACATCAGATTTACGTAGGGTTTCAAAACTTCATAATGGAAACCTGGGGTCAAGAGCCTTCTGTGGCGAAACCACTTCTGACCTTCAGACACCAATAAGCCATCACCTGAAGACAGACAGAGGCAGTATATGTCAGCGAGGGAAGCAGCTTAACAGGAAATACTGTGCAGTAACCCAAAATATGCTGTAGGAGAAAGTAAAAGCAATCTTACCAATCCAAGGCTTAGTAAAAGTATATACCATATCATCTTTTGGCTCTGTTACGAAACAAACAATTACAGATGATGTTACATTGACCTTTGTTTATTGAAATGCAGATAATAAACCAATATGAGATTACATTAACCATTAGTTGATGATCAACAGATAAGCAACTTTAGTTGACTATCTGTTGATCGTCAACTAATGGTTAATGTAATCTTTAGTTGACATCTTGACTCTCAACAGATTATCAACAGATAGTCGACATGACCCTGTTGACTTTCAACTGACAGATTGATTTTGAGTAGTTTATTGTCAATTTTGAAGATGTTGACACAATCTACAGATAGTAAGGTTGAATATTGGTTAATACGCTGTTGCAAAAAACATGTTGTCGGTTTGAACGGTGCTGTTGAATGTCAACTGATACATGTCAACTGATGCACTGTTGACATGCTACTAAATGTCAACGGATGACTTATAGAGTGTTAACTATGGACTATCAAAATAAAGTGTTACCCAACTGTTCACATTCATAATTAAGTAAAGATAACACCCTTTTCACCCCGGTTACATTTTCCATTTGCCCTGAGAGGCTCAGTGAGGTAAAGGACTGAGTGTTTAGATAGTTCACTTTAGTCTAAGTTATCTCAGTGTGTCTCAAACGGTTTTATCACAATTTATGTAAACAAATATTTCCAAGGCACACCTTTATAATTATTAGGATGAATAAAAACAGGTTTGAAATCATTCCAATGTATACTATAGGACAGTAAACCAACAATATCCTTTAAAACTGGAGAGATGAACAAATATGGATAAATAAATAAATGTTAACTAAGTAAAATAAGATATAAATGAACCAGCAAAAATCTTGCCTAGAGCAGCAAATTGGTCACAGCACCCATTTGAAACATGTTCGAACCCTAACCGTACTTGACAATGAACCTGTTTCTGATCCTATTATTATTAATACATTAGTATTATTACTTGCTTCTTGCACTTGCTTCTGCGTCACTGAGCAGTCATTATACACATTACCTCCTTCAGATGTCCAAAGAGCCAGTGCGACGGTGGTCCTGGAAACAATTCCATACTTTGCATCGCAGCTCTTCTTTGGGCAAGCAAGATTGTCAACTTATAAACAACGGCAACAACACAGAGCACCGCGATCAAGTGGTCGATGTGGGGTAAGCCCAGCTGATACTTCACGTAACCCTCAGTTGACTCCATGCTTGCGACTTCCTTGATGATGAACAGTGATTCACACAACACAGTTTTATGTGTGTGAGTGTGTGGGATGCAACCACCGGAATGTGGGTGGATGATGTGGCCGGAACACTATGCACTACAGCTCCGTCTGTAGTCACACTCACAGCCGAATGAGGCTCCCTTCTTTCGAACTAAAGATGTCCCGATCCGATTTTCAAAAGATCGGAATCGGGGAAAAAAAATCGGGGATCGGGAATTTTTTTTTATTTATATATTTTTTTATAACATTTATTTTTTTATTTAATGTTACAAAACAAAAATGACCATGTTCACGTCTTAAAGTCATCCTGAGGCCTTAGTTTTGGTTTAAAATTACACAACATCATGTATGTGTTGCTTCTTTTGGGCTTGTTTTCATAGACCTGGTTGCTTATTTCTCTCAAATCTGGCAACAGAGTGGGCGCAGTGTCTAATAGTAGCAGTAAGCTAACAAGAGGCTACGTTCAGCTGGTGACTCGGGAGTCGGGACAGAGAAAATGTCAGGAGTTTGGAAGTATTATAAAATTGAAAGCGAAGGCAGTGTAACAGCCAGATGCAATGTTTGCAAGGCGGAGGTTCCACGTGGTGGAAAGAACAGAGCTACGTTCAACACGACCAATCTAATACGCCACCTGAGAAACAAACACCAACAACAACACGACGAGTACACAGCGGCCACTCAGGTAACGGCACTGAAACAACTGACACTTTCAGAGACTTTTAAAAGGAAAGAGAAACTGCCCCAGAACAGTGAAAAGGCCAAAAAAATAACAGCCAAGATAGCTGAATTCATCGCGTTGGATGACCAGCCGTTATCTGTTACCTTTTTTTTCTCTTAATGCATTGCATAAAGATCGGATCGGGAAAAATCGGTATCGGCAGATTGTCAAAATCAAATGATCGGAATCGGATCGGGAGCAAAAAAAGGTGATCGGGACATCCCTATCACACCCGAAAAGAAGGAACTTAATGTCAACTTAAACTTTACTGAAAAACTGTTCATTTGACACAGGACTCAAAGCAGACAGAAATTGTCTTTGAAGCTGGTTTCCCCCTATCCATATTGTGCCCTGTGCTAATTAACATCAAAGGAGCGTTGTTGCGTACTGCTGTAACTTAATGTACTCACACAGATGTGCTGGCTGTGTTTATAAGAAAGTATAGGGAGAGTAATGTGTAAGAGCTGATATGATTTTGTTCCCCACCATTAATGTTATGACCTGCATAATTTTAGAGCAAGTTTGCCCAGCTGGGAATGGACAGAAATTCTAATTAGCTTGATTAAAAGAATTCTCATAAAGTTAGCCTTGATTTGCTGCCAGATCCTTACTACAACTTTAAATGCAGACTTTTAAACGATAAAAAAAAAAAAAAAAAAAGCCTGAGGTTGTGTTGGAAATCAAACACAGTGTTCAAGCTCCTCCGAATTAGCCCTGCCCTTACTTTGAAATCCAACAGCGCCATGGACAGGAAATTTGACAGAAAAAGCTGTTAATCCATTTTAAGCAGAGATTGAAATGTCTCCAAGTGCTTACACTGGAATAACCCGAGCAGGGACGCAGCGATGAGGTCATCACATTTATAGTCAGCACAAATCAGGCAACTCTGAATAACTTCTCAAAACATTTACTTAATTCGCAAAGAAAGCTTTTTGCTCTGAACAACGGTTTGTGGTTAATCGAGAGGCTTGAATATCCCGAACATGTCTATAGCTTTGTCATTTGGGAGTGTGTGGGAGAGAAACTCCCTTTGGAGAGAACACAGGGATTTTAGCCTTTGCAAGACTCAAGGCTTTTATTGTCATTCGTACATAGCTACAGTGTGTACAGTACAGTGTACATTGTGGGGGAAACTTCTGTTGCAATGGAGAGTCAGGACTCTAACCATTATGGCGCGTTTCCACTACAGCGCGGAGCACGGTTTAAGAGGGCTGTGACGTCAGCGGCCCGTTTTTGGTTGCGTTTCCACTTGGCCTAGTACCGGCCGGCGGGTCCTAATTCACAGTTTTTCTGGCCTCATAAAATCGTGGGTCTAGGGCCAGAGACAACGAGGCTGAGTCGGGCTGAGTATGCTAAACTAGAGAGAGAATCGCTGGCAAGGGGGCTACAACTACAACAAGATGGACATATTTGACCGTGATTTAATTGTAATACACGTTTCAAAATGATGCCGAAGTAACAACATACTGATACCGGTTAGTAAAAACCATGAATTAATGCTTTGTCAAGTCTGCAGACAGACGGCAGGCGAAAAACCTTTTAAAATGCGTGTTTTCTAAATGGAGATTGGCTAAGCTAACGCAGTATATGCTCCGACCGTCCACACTCACAACAACGGCCTATACAGACATAAATAAACCAGCGACTGTATTCGCCATGACACAGGCAGTCTGTGGTTTGTACTTGTTTAACTTTTGTCTAGTTTCTGAACATATATGAGGAGCTGTGAGCCAGGCGCGCCGGATTCATTTTAGAAGTGGGGGGGCCAAAAAAGTGCGTGTGTATGGCCCAATCCCAAACTACGCCCGACACACTCCCCCTCCGTGACGGAGTGAACTCCGTGGAGTGACACATGAGGCTCCCTCCTGTCAGATGGAGGGAGACAGCGGCAAGCTTTGGGACAAACTCCCCTCTCTCCGGCAGAAACAGGAAATGCCGTAACTACAACGGTTTCAAATCAGCATCTCTTTGACAAAAAATGTAAATTAATAACTCAAATAAAACTCCAAACATCTTTAATTGTGTTACTTTTTTGTAAAGCTCTTTTAGTTTTAAACCTTATGTTTATAAGCTTATTAGTTTTTGCAACAGTCTGTAAATATACACAACTTTATAATAAAATGCACACAATTACCTTTTTCTAGACTAAACACAGGTAGCCTATGATCCTAAGTTAAAAACATATGAGGTTATCATGAGGTTGTTAACATCGCAGTTTATCAGTGGGTTATTGATTCTGCGTCAGTCTTAGGACAGTCATACATTCCTATGAAGTCTTCATGGACAACATAATCAGCTGATACCCATCGTACAGTCAGAGACAACTGTTCATGGAGGCTTGGGCACTTTTTCCAGTTATTAACTCCGGTATTAACAAAGCTATCATCTCCACATTTTGAGAAAGTTACAAGCCGTTTGACAGCAGCAAATCTGCATATTTCACAGAAGGCCCGTTTAGTGGTTTTGCAAATAATTAACCACTCTCTGTTTTTGTACCATTCTGCGTTGAAGTACCTTTCTCTTTGCCCAGACGATCTAGCGGTCTCCTTTTTTTCGACAGTTAGCTGTACAGCTTTACCCGCCTCAATGTCCCGACAACAAACCTCCATGCAGTCAGAACCAGCCTGTTTCGGTTCAACGATGGCGGTGGGGGTGGCGGCGGCGGTTTTGACCGTCTCTGCGGCCGCAGAGCTGCTGCTTTTGGGTTTATCTATTCTCGCTTCGCTGGTTCTTCTATGATTGATGAAGGTCCAGGCTCCGGAGAAGTGGATGTCAGGGATGTGACCTTCCAGTTGTTAAATGTAAGTTTAGATTAACTGTATTTAGTTTTCTTCTGCGCTGGTTCTTCTGACTTGTTTGCAAGTGTATCTATTCTTTCTATCTGGCTTAACGGCTGACACACACATAACAACGTAACAAATAAAGTAAACAACGTAACAAATAAACAAATCTAAGCTTTTTTATTGGTTGTAATTTACATGGATACATTTGAATGGTGTGACAATGTCCTATTTGATTGGGTTAAAATTTACATATTCTTCCTGTTATGTCTGCCTGCTTTATTTTACCTAATGCAAACCTGCTCCA